TTGCATCACATTTAAAGTACAAAAAGATCCAAGTAGGCAAATTCCTCTGCTCACACAGTTGTGTGCATGTTTAGGCCTTGCTTCCTTCTCCTGCAACACTGTGGTTTTTTTCCCAAATGTGTTTGTTTTCATTGCTTGAAGATTGTCCTTGATACATACTTAAAAGTGTTGTTCACTGTTGCAGAAATGCTAGGAGAAAAGCCTACAGTAAAGGGCAAGAACAATTTAGATTCTGTAATTTTCTAAATGCAAATAAAGACTACTTATAGCCATTTTCATTGCACTGTAGAATGCATATCAGAGGGGAAATAATGTTCTCCCACACCAAAGCCACCAGAACAGCCCTATAACTCCCCTGAACAGAAGAAAAACAGAGCTAGCAAAGCATGCTCTAAAAACCACTATATTTTTCTCTCCTGCCTCTTGAATCTATCAGTGTAATCACACCTGAAATGTCTTGAGAAGAAATTGGCCTGGTTTTTCAGGAAGTAATGATTAACAAAGCTCTAAAAGAGCTGGGGTGCTGCAAGTTCTCTGAACACACCTCAGGGGCTGCTCTCACCACCTTCACTTTTGGGACAAATTTCCAGATTTGCCAAAGTTTGCAGCTTCCTGCTGGTCCACACAAGCCCAGGTGATGCTCCCAGCCCAGTGTCAGTGGCCCCAGCTCTCACTGACCTTGCCCCACTGTGAGGATCTGGGTTTCCTGAAAGGACACCCACTTTTTGTGCTGCACTAACACAGCTGCCAGCACCTCCTTGCCCTTCATATAAAAAAAGGTGTTGTTGTTTTGCCCAAAAACTTGTTTTGTTGTGTGGCTCACCAGCTCCAGAACATGAATTCCACCTCTCGCAACCAAGAGAACCACTGAAAAGTTATTTCTTTCAAAAACAAAAACAAAAATAAGTAAGAGGAAAAAAAAAAAAAAAAAAAAAAAAGTGAGCAGGGACATGATGTAGATGAGAAAAGATTGCTCCCTGCCACCCAGATACAGCACAGCAAATCAGAAAAAAGCAGATACATGACAGCAGCCATTGGATTCCACAGTTGACTGTAACTAAAGCCTATTTTATTCTGCCTATTGGACAATGTGCCCAAGCTTAGCCAAGGAGCACTTTGAAGATAACTCCTGGCCTTAAACAAGAAGATCCCAACTTGCTTTTTAAAGAAAATTAAAAAAAAAAAAAAAAAAGGAAGTACAAATCCTTTGGCCAAAAAAAAAAAAAAAAAAAAAAAAACCTTTGGGCAAAAAAAAAAAAAAAAAAAAAAAAAAATCCTGTAATGATAGACCAGTTATCTGAAAACCATTTTCTTTATGCAAAGTGCCACCTGAGCTGACAATTAAACTTTAGGGCAAGAGAGGTGGGACACAACCACTTGATTCAAGTAATTCTGCTTCTCTCAAGCCCAGTCTGTGTTTGGGTTGCTGTGGGTACAACAAGCTGAAAATGTGTGTTTCACCAGCAGATGGTGAGGTTTTATCTGCACAAGATTGTGCCATTTTGCCTGAAAGGCAGGAAACCGCTAACTAGTTTTGAATTAAAACCACTTTACAGTTAAGGAATAAACTTGCCAAATCCCTCTGAAATCTCACAGATAATGATGCATCAGACATTTCAGTGAGGAAGATCAAACAGCTTCCTCAAGGTCTCTATTCAGGAGCAGAACCTCCAATACTCTGATTTAGGAGTGGGCCTGTTTCTATTTTATTAGGATAGTTTTTCATGTCCTCAGTATTGGTTTTTTTTTATGGAAAACAGGCAGATTCAATGCAAATATGGACAAAAGTCACATGGGCTGAGAAGATTTCAATACTATTTATTGCTTTCTCACTGAATTTGATTGTATTCACTTCATTTTTCAAGACACCAACATTTTCCTCCAGGAACTCTGAGAGCCAGAGCATGAATTTACAAGATCACTTTTCATCTTTTGAAAACTTGCTTACTGGCACTATTTTTCCAAGTTCAACACAAATTCCACTTGAAGCACAAAAAATGTGCCCAGGAATACAGGGGGTTTGGTTTTGTTTTTTTGGGGTTTTTTTCTGACTGGTGCTGTTGGTTTTGATGAATTGGTAACAGAGGGTATTTTCTGTAGGGGTGAAAAAGGAAGAATTCCAAGGTATCAAAAGTGGCTGACTAAGTCCACAATTAGGTAACTAAACAGTCTTTTTCAGAAGGGCTGAGAGTCTGTCAAGGCTAGTTTAAGTTCAGTGTAGGTTTCCCAGTAAGAACCTTAATTCTATATTCTCATTTACACACTTTGCCCAAATATCATGTGTAATGGTGGCTGGCTCTTGGCCTCAGTTAAAAAAATCTGTAAAAACACAACTTGACAGGGGTTGAAAATGTGAAAAAATTAATTATTTCCTTCCATTGAACCCATTGGTTGGAAAACATTTTAGGTGCAAAGAAAGGGGGGAAAAATGGTATTTTATCCCTTTTCCCAAAATTGCCAATAAAATATCTGACAAAAGAGTTGCTGTCAGTGTGCTGCATATTTCTGTTGGTTTCCTTGTGTTGGGAAATGAGTACCAAAGTAATACAAACATTTTTCTTTGTCTCCTGAGTGGAGCCTGTGTTTCAAGCATTCCCAGTTCCCAATTCTACAGGTTTCTTTGGGTTCAGAAGAAAAATTTGTGTGAAAGAGAAATTTGTCATCCACAACATGTCTTGATGTTGTTGTTGTTGTTGTTGTTGTTAATTTTCTTTTTCTTTTAAGTGCATGAAGCATTAGAACTGTTAGGAGCTTATTTTTAATCCATAAAACCTCATAAAGTCATGCAAGTGTGATTTTTTGGATTGGACCAAGCTGTTATTGGAGAAAACTCAAAGAAGTATCACGATAAAGATGAATGTGCACCACTTTAGCTGCACACTCACTCTTCTGATAGTATCTCCAAGAAAACTGATATCAGGGGGATCCCCAGCACACTTGACAAATTTTTCCCCATGCCAGAAGTGTTGAATAGAATTGTGGATGGCCAATATTTTTTGGAGAGTGAATAGAGCTGGGAAACAAATTTAGAAACAGCTGGATACACATGCACCCTGATACATAAAACATGTCAAGGCTATTTAAATTTTGGCTATAGGCAAGAGTCACCTCTAAACTCAGAAATTCAATTTAGAACCTGAGTGTTGGTGTAATAATGCTGATTGTTATGATCACAAATTTTGCTCCTGCATTTAAAGCCATCATGAATCTTGCTCACCTGCACACCCATGAAAGAGGCAAATTTTCTACCTTCATAGTATTTAAACTCACTGCAATTTTAGGACAACATCAGGGAAATAGATTGGATGCATATATTTAATTATGTTGTCATTCTTATTAATTACTAGAGAAGTAATAAATCACTGTAACAACAAGGGTGGTTAGAAAGTATGAGAAATAAGTTAAAAGCCAGAGAAAAAGGAACAAGTGATGAGGCAGCTGCTCAGAACCATGGGATCCAGAAACCATATGGAATAAGTTATGAGGAAAATCTATTGAAGCAATGAACATAAATGATTTCAAGAGACACCTAAATTGTTTCCGAAGGAAGAGACAGAGGGAAGTTGTTAAAAATGAAAGAAAAATAAGGTGGAAAAAAAGATCAATCAGAGCAGAAATCTGTTGGACAGATGGTACCACTCTGTTCCTAGAATATCTTAATTTCTTAAAATTTAAAATTACAGTAAAAATATAATGCCCATTCAGTCAGTAGCCTGAATTTAAAAATAGGATCTCAGCTTCCTCAAATTCATAGGATCATAGAAGGGTTTGGATTGGAAGGGACCATGGGCAGGGACACCTTCCACTAGACCAGGGTGATTAATTAGTGTCACAACAACTGTGGTTTTGGAATGCATAAGCATTATGTATTATCTTATATATGTTTACCTTATTTTACACCTGGTGTCTGGAATCACCAAGGGGTGCCTTGGTACCACCCTGAGCCACCAGTGAGGCAACAGAAAGCCTCACCACCATTTCCCACCCCTCTTTGCTGCCACAGCCACCCATCTCCCCAAGAAATGTCTCATTTTTAAGCCATTTCAGAGCACTTTTAGGCTCTGGTTAGTTACACGATGTGGCAATAAGTGAAGCCTGTCTTGCCCCAGGTGTCTTTCCACACCAGCTGCAGCCACATGGTCTGCAGCAACAACAGGTGTGTACAGATGCTCTCTGATTTAAAACTTCACTACTGGAAGGGAAAATAATAACCAGTTTGGTCTTTTTATTAATGTAATGTTCTTCACTGGGTGCTCAACAGGAAATAAATCACCTCTTCCTCCTACAGAAGAGATTATTTTGAATGGGGAAGAGTTTGATCATTTCCTGTGTCCATCAGCTCTTTGATTTAGGTTCATTGATGGTGGGTGAAGATTTTTTTCCCTCTCCTTCTCCTGATTTTCCTTTTTGTTTTAAGTCAGGAGGTATCAACAGCATCTTAAAATTTTATGGCTGAATTATGGGTTACAGGCCTCCTGAACCAGCTAAGGATGGCTGCTGCAGAGCTGCCCCACAGAGCAGGCTCCAGAAATACTTGTGAGGCTCCTCTGTGCACCCCAGAGGCCCAGCAAAGGCAAGAGCTTGAATGCCAGATCATCACCCAAAAATGCATCCTGGTGAGTGAGGAAATTGCCACACATGGCCTTGCGCAAGGCAAGAAGATCACAAACCAGCTCCAGCAGAGACCCTTACACTACCACAGTCTCAGATTTTTGAGTATTTCTATTTGAAACCTTAGAGAGTTCCCACACATACAATAACAGGAACTGAGAACAAGACCTTAAAGCTAAACCACAAAATATTAGGTATCCCAAAATGAATTTACTGGCTGTTTTCTTGGGTCCATATTTAGCGACAGGGGGATTTTTTGGCTGTTTTTTTTTTGGGGGTTTTTTGTTGCCTCTTTTTTTTTTTTTTATTGCAGCTTCCCTCATTGCTAGTGGGAATTTGATAAGCCACCACAAAAAGAAGTGAGTGATTTCAGCTCGAAGGCATCTTACCAGTGGGCTGCCATCAGTCCAGCGGAAGTCACGCTCAAACATCTTGTCATTGAGGCCAATCCACTGGTAGTCATGGCCAATACCTAGGGAACCAGAAGGGTGTTTTCATTAACTTTCCCATAAATGGAAGAGATTTCACCAAAGAAAATAATTTTATGCTGAATGAATCAGACATCCTGTTCTTAAGATTATTCTGCTCTTTGTGCTAAAGACTGGTTTAGAGGCTCTTTTTCAGCTTTTTTTTTAAATTTGGGATGTGTATAAAAATACAGAATCTCATCTAAGAGTTTTAAATGATCCTGTCTCTTCACTCCCAGTGATGTCTACCAAGGCAAAGAGAATTAATTTCATATCTGAGAACATATGACAGGAAGTAAAGAAGAGAAAAAAATTAAAATCACATATTCTAATCCATATTTTTCAAGTTTTGGTTAGGCTGTGATGACCATTGTTGTCTAAATTTTACAATACAACACAGAAGCTATTTTTTTATGCCTTACTATGGTGGCTTTGTCGTGATGGCACAAAATACCTTGAGTCTCCAAAAAACAAAATGTCTCAAAAAGTTTCAATGTCAAATCAAAAGTTCTTGTTCTCACCCCTCCCCCCAAAAAGTATTTTCTATTTAACAAATAATAATTTAATAGTGACAGAGAACTTGTATTAACTGCAGAAGTAAACATTTAGAACACAAAGTGTGCCTTTTATTTAACATTTTAAAGTATGTTTTAAGTTGGAGATACAAAAGCTGAGTGGTGAGGAGGAGATCTCACCAGCTCTGAACCCTCAGCATTTAGAGTGAACCCTTTTGTTTAGAGTCACAGAATAGGCTGATGGCACCCACAGGGGTCATCAGTCCAGCCCCTGTCCCTGCGCAGACCCCCCAAAAATCCCACCCTGGGCATCCCTGGGAGAATTTTCTAAATGCTCCTGAAGTTTTGGCAGCAATGGCTTTTTCTTTGCTTCCTGGAGCAAAGATTTTGCCTCAAATGCACTTGAACAAAGTGCTGTATGTTTTACATTTTTTAAACAGCTCTTTTGCAGAACCAAATCCACCAATCATCAGACATTTTTCCAACACCACACAGGCAAAATTAAAGGAAAAGCCTTTAGTTTTAATCAGAAATCTAGAGCCTCAGGGTCATGCCCATTCCCTGGAGAACCTCGGCAGTGCCCAGCACCCTCTGGAATAAGAACCTTTCCTTAAAGTCCAACCTAAACCTTTCCTGACACATCTTCAGGCCATTCCCTGAGGTTCTGACCCTGTCACAGGAAGCAGAGATCAGAGATGCCCCTCAAAGGATGTTGGAGACCACACTGAGGTCTGATCTCCTCCATCTGAACTGCCCAAGTGACCTCAGCTCCTGCCTAGACCCTTCCCCATCTCCACGCCCCTCCTTTGGACACTCCCCGACACCTCCAGATGTCCCTGGTGTGGTGGCCCCCGAGGTGTGAGGCAGAGGAAGCCCGTGGGTACGCACGGTTGACGAAGATCTGCTCCTCGTGGGAGAGGATGCTGGTCAGGTGTGCTCCCTGCAGGCGGCACTCCCGCTCCGCCGTGTCCCACGTGCGCCGGTGCGCGAAGTACTTGTAGCACTGGCCCTGGAACTTGTGCCAGCCGTAGTCACAGGTCTCCGTGTCTGCAGCAGACAGACAAAGCACATCCCTGTCAGCGCACCAAAACCAGGCACGTTTGGTCAATCAACCAAAACCAGGAACATTTGCTCAATGCACCAAAACCAGGCATATTTGATCAATGGACCAATATGAGGTACGTTTGGTCAATGAACCAATACCAGGCACATTTGGAACAAAACGAGACACATTTGATCAATGCACCAAAACTAGGCACGTTTGGTCAATCAACCAAAACCAGGTGTGTTTGGTCAATGCACCAAAATGAGGCACATTTGGTCAGTGCATCAAAACCAGGCACATCTCATCTACACCAACAGATTTTCTGTGGGACAAAACGTCATGAAAAATCCATCTGTCAAGGCATGCAAAATCAAACATTCATCATCTGAGCCTCATTTTCAGGTAGTTCTGCTTACCCAGGCTCAGTACAACATCATTGAAACCTCACTTTCAGGCAGTTCTGTTTACCCACTTTCAGCACAAACTGCAAGATTATTACTTATCTAAGGCATATAATTGCAATTGGAAACTTTGTGGGTTTCCACTGATTGAATTAAGCTGACTCTGGGCAATTTCAGGAGGATATCTTCATATGTAACCCTGGATGGAGAAAATGCTTGGATGTTGGACTGCAGAGAACCTTCATTTCATCAGTTTTCTGAGTCTGTACTTGGGGATGGGAATTTTTACTTGCAAGGACAAATGGTTCTTCAAGTCACTGTACTAACTTAAGTTTGGAAGAAACCGATAACTGAAAATTATATGAAGAGAAATTATTGTAATTGTTTAGTCTGCAGAAGCAAAGCTGCAATATTATCTTTCTGAGCTCACGCCTCCAAATCCTCCCCCAAAACCCATCTTCCTTGATGAAGGCAACTTCAGCCATCAGTTTGTTAGGAGGTTTGCAAAGCTGAAATACAAAGTAATGAAATTGCACGTTGTCTGTGCTTGCATGAGGCATGGTGCTGATAAGAACACATCACAAAGAGGATTCACACCAGCCACTATATCCTTTCAGCTCAAAGAGAAATAAACACAAGCCTTGGAACAGGAACAATCCATGGATTTGACATTAATTTTGTTGTCAAGGGTAGGGAACTGTAAACAGTATAGATGGCAAAAAACCCCCAAGAGTTTCAGTTCCAAGTTTGCTTCTGCAGGGATGAATCACAGGAAAAAATCAGCATTAATAAGATGGGCAAAACAAGTGTGATGTCTGAATGTGTGACGTCTGAGCTGTGCCTGAGGATGGGACGGGCCTGCCAGTGATAAAAGGGAGTTTTAGGGAGGGGTGGGAGAAACAACAGGGGAAAGGCAGGGAGTCTTGAGCCATGACAGATGCAATGGCATCATAAAGGACGTTTCAGCACGAGATTACAGCGTGTTTCAGCCACAGCTGTCTCAGCAGGGGATGGCTCACCCTGAGGGGCCTCAGGATGCTGAGGAGCAGAAACACAAGGCCTGGCCTCCCCACCCCACCCACCCACCGGGAATCGGCCACTTCCCATCAAATTTTACCAGGCCCCTGAGCAAAACAGTGTCTGGAGCCAACTGTTCCAACCTTTCCAGAGATATGGAGATGTTCTGGGCTGGAAACTGGATTTCTCATTCTCAGTAAGTCAATGCAGTCAGTGGTCAATAACACGCTTTGGCCAAAGGGGCTCTTTTTGCCTGAGTACAGAAATAGCCAAATATTGCAGTACATGCCAAGGGATGATGGCTGCAAATACCTTAACTAAGGGATTAACTTAGGTTTGAGCTGCTACCACCACCTAAAAAACAGTTTTTCACAGCACAGGTTATTAATTCACAGCAGGGAGAGGCCATTTCTATCCTGACACACCAAACTGTCTATTTTTCAAAAAAAAAGGGTTTAAATCTCCCATGACACAAACTAGATTTTACATGTAAATAAATGGATTTCAAAGTGCAAACAAAATGTGGCAAAGCCATGTCAGAAGCTTATCAGAATTTCTCTGACACTAATAATGTAGTCATTGTCTTAGGAGTCTGATATCAAAATAGTTTCCCAAAAGTCATCAGTACTGACATAAATGTACCAAATGCAAAGACATAATCAAGCTTACACTGATTATGTCCCTTCTATTTCCAGGAAACTGAACTGTAGAAAACTGCTTGTGCCTTGAGTCATCCCAGCTATGAAAAAAGGAATGTAATCTACATAACCAAATTGTTATTTTTTTATCTTTTCCCTCTTTGTAATTCTGTGTGAGGTGCAGGCTGCAGACACAGCTTTAATCTCTGGCATCTAGGTAATTTTTGAAGTTTAGTCTGCCTTGGGCTTTCTAGAACATTTGTTTGACCACACAAAGCTGACTAACAGACCTATGTCCTTTGTAAAGGCACTTAAGATTTTATTATTTATCTTGTTCAGGGACTCCTTTGTCCCACAGGAAACAAGTCAGATAATAACAAGGAGCTGAGAAAAACGTGGCCAGAGAGGATTTCCAGGCTATTCTCATCAAAACTTCCCTGGCCTCTGCTAGGGAAGAAGTGAAGGATTTGAGAGGAGGGACAGTGGGGAGGCAAAGGGGCTTGAAAATACAAAACTGAGAGGACTGTGTTTACTAAGTTAGATATAATGGCCTGAGCATGAATTATAACAAAATTTCTCCTCTTACAAAAAGAATCACAGTTTCTCTTCTTAAGGTAAAAGGTGTCAAACACTGACAAAAAGTTAAGTAACTTTCTGCACCTGTATATATCTTTAAAATCTTAAAAAAAAAAAAACCAAAACCCCAAAATAGAACAAACCAGAACTGATGGCTATAAAATGATGTTTTTAGATGCTGGAAAAGAGGATTTTTTTGGTTGGGGTTGGGGGAGTGGTTGGGAATTCTGGGGGTTTTCTTTTTTTGAGGGATTTTGCTTTTGGTGTTTGTTGCTGTTGGCATTTTTGGGGGTTGGTTTGGTTTTTTTTAGAGGAGAGGTTGACAAAAAGAGGGAAAAAATGTATAGGGAAAGGAAGATTCAAAGATTGTAGAGGATGCAAAATGTGAACCAGGCAAGTAAAACTGTGGGGACAATTTCATCTCTGCAGAGTTTTGTCTTCAGTGTGCAACCCTTACTCAATGATGAAAGCTGAAAGGGGTGACAAAATGTGGGTTAAGTTTTCAGTGCCTTTACTGAACCACTAAATTAGTGTCTACTGAACCAGTAGACACGAATTGCAGGTAAATTTTCTGACCCAACCACGGTGAGCAGAGTAGGTGCAAGCACTTATTAAATCCAATACTTCACATTCATTGTGTACCCAGCCACAGACTTCTTAACCTTACTGCAGCATGTGATGGAAGGACTGAAACACTGCTCACCATTTTTGTGGTGTTTTAAAACTCATCTTGGGTTTATGAAAATTTACAGGGGTTTTCAGTGGTGTGTGCAAGGAGTTACTCTCACAGCTTCTGTTCTCTGTAACTGCAACTGAAAATGTGTAACCACATCCCTTAACACTGCATTAAAAAAAAGAGTTCTCGGTGGGTTTGATACATAAATAGGGACTGTTTTTTCAATTGCTGCTGTCAATAGGTCCATTGTCTTTAAAGAAATTCCAGAAGAGGCTTATAGGTAATAAAGACTGACACAGGTACCAGAACATAATGAGTCTTACTCAGCTGCGAATTTTATCAGTGACTCTCTGCCTTCAGCTAATGAGAAAATGCTGGAGGCCACTTAGCCCACACAGCTCGAGGAGAAACCCATTTCTCTAGTAAATATCCAAAACAATCTCTTTTCAGCTGACAGACATCAGTAAGAGACCATCTGTTTTCAGAAAGTACCTTTTCCCTGAGCCCTTCTCAACTACTTCAACCCCAACCAACCAAGCCCTAGGAACAAAGTGAATTAAATGAGACTGGAGTAATCACAGACATTGAAACAATGAACTTGGGTTATAAGAACACATGATTCCTGATAGGGTGGTTAAAACCCACAGTTGTTTTGTTTTCAGAACCTGGAAGAGAGCAGCTGGTTGAATTATCCCAAGGAGGCGCATTCTGTTACAAACACACATGTGCCATTTTTGCACTCATGTCCAGCTGCAGGCAAGCCAAACCTTAGGCTTAAAACATTCCTTGAGAGCAGGTAGACACCAGCTAGAGCAGAAAAAGGAGAAAAAGGAAAGGAAACTCTAGGCAGCCAAGGAAGGAAGAGGAAAATCCACAGAGGTGTTCATCCAGTTCTCATAAAGAGAATTCACCCTTAAAATTGAGGTTCAAATTGCAAGTATTTACCATTTCCTGAGAGTTGTCATAGGGGCTTTTCACAGAGGGATGACAGTGGAAAGACTGATGGCTCTCCAGAATAAAACTCACACTAAGATTTACTGTAATCTCCTGTCACTCTTTGCGAAAGTGTTTGGGGGATATTTATGAATTTTAAGGGGCAATGTTCAAATATCAGTAAGTGACAAGAAGAACATGCATCTTTCCTTTGAAAAGATACAGGTGGTGGGCAAAAGAGGATATTGTCCCTTTTAATCTCACCTGCACCAGAAATGATGCTGTCTTCACTGAGCTAACAATCTAGTTTAAAGGCAAACTTTGAGGGAACATTCAGCTGCACTATTTCTAACATCTGACAAATTCAGCTCGCTTCAGGAAGATGTTCCCGGGCTCAGATTGCTGAATTCTTTCCACCTGGCAAGAGGAAGGGCTGTGAGGGAGCCAGTTCCAGCTCCCTGAGTCTCAGGACTCCACTGCCTCAGCCTGGATTAGATCACCCAGAAGGTTCCTTTAACTTCAGCACCTGCCAGAGCTCCGTGGTGTACAGCTGTGCTGTCCCCTGGTCACATCCTCTCCAAATGCTGACACAAGCATGATACCCCTGTCAAAGATCCCTTAGTCCAGAGCAGTCCCACAGGGACATCTGGGTGAAATTCTGAGCTCTGCTTGTCCTTCTGCACCAGTGTAGTGGGTGCAGATGTGGTGACCTCCTACTCTGAGCTTCATTTCCAAGGGCAGTGCATGCTCCCTGCTCCCATTCCCTCCCACGGCATTTTGAATGCTCAGCACTGTGCCTAAGAAATCCCTTCAGTCTGATTTTTTTTTTTTTTGAAGCTCTCTAAAATGAATAGTATATTTGAAATTAAAAAAAAAAAAAAGTAATGAAATATAATCTTGGTGTGCTGAGCTCCACCTTTCCTGTGGCACTGAGGTGCACATTCTGTCGTCCTGACTGGTCTTTAAATCTAGTGAGGTCAGGACTGATGCCTTGAAATAAAGCCTGCTTGCCAGACAACCATGTCTGAATCGCCAACACAGTTTTATTTTGTCTGGTGGAGTGGAAATTTGGCACTAAAACCTTTTCCCAAGTCCCAAACCACTGCAGGACTTTAAGTGGAGGAAATTTAAATTCCAAAGCTGAGAGAGCACAGCTCTGGTTCTGATTGACAAACTAGGAAATGTTCCCATTAACCACCTAAAATGCACTCTCAGGTTGGTCATAAAAAGCAGCTTAAAGCTACCATGGCACTCAGAGCCACTCACTGCTATGGATTTGCTAGAATGAAGGGGAGGAGGAAAGGAGTGAGAACATTTATTTCTTTTGGTGTGAAAACACTGTCAATTTTTAATTTGGGAGGCAAGATTCAGAAAGCCTTCTCAAGTAACAAGGTTAGCCAGACTGCTGAAAAGGTTAAACAGTAAAAATGCTGGAGCTGATCAGCTCTCAGATTTTTCCTCTTTAACAAAAAGATCTCTACAGGTTGAGCTGGAAGAGTTTGCAAACCACTCCTCACTGAAGCTGAGAAACAAACATGAAAATACACAATATTAATTAAACAAATCCAAAGGTTTAGTTCATTCACCTGTGACCAAAATCATTAAGCTGAAGGAAAAGGAAAAAAATATTTTCATAAGTTTGGCAAGCACCGTTTCTTTTTCCCACGGAAATGCCTTCATTAATTTTATTGACAGAACAAATGTTGCTACCCTATTCCTCCTCCCACATATTGAGTAAGCAACTTGCACTGCAAATGTTTCCTGTTAATGCTGTGGGGCTTCTTGCAGGCAATTTTCTAACAACTACAGGCACTTGGATATTCAATCTTATTTCAGTTGTGCACCTTAGAAAGCCTTTTACAATCTCCTTGTAATGATAATGCTGCACCTACTTTTCCTAAAATAATTCCAGAAGAAATAATTTCGAAAATTGTAGGATGAAGTTGTCAAAGCTGTGGTCCCCAGTGGATGAATATATAATCTGTCTTATTCACTAAACTATTCCTACATCTCACTGATGCCTTTTGGAGGTGATGGTTTCTGATACGTCTTTCACACCACATGTAATTTTTTAAGAGAGAAACTCAGCCACAAAGTAGCCCTGCTCCCACTCATAAAGCATCACTGCAGTAATGAGAGTGCCTCGTTTTGTGTCTTGCCAGCAGTTTGCAAGGCAGCATAAGCAAGCAGGCTTGGAAGCAGGCTTGGAGCCACCCGAAAACTGCTGCTGAAAAGCAGCACCTGAGAGCTGTTGTTTTGAGACAGAAATTGCCCCATGTATCAGTTTATATTTTGTACATGGCTTCCACTCAGGTTAGCATGTGGATAGGCCTTGTGCAAAATGAGAGATGGCAAAAAACCCTGAAACACAAGTCAGGAAAGTCTAACAAAAATTTGCGGCTCTTCTCACCATGAGTGACTTTCCGCAGATTTTTGTTGGATTATTCCACCTTCTCGTTTTTAGGAGGCTTAGCGCTGTAACTCCAGAAGGATTTTGGGCTGGAAATGGAGTGTCCAGCAGCACAGGAGAGGGAACAGCCCTTACCTTGCTCACAGAGAGCCCCCACGTAGCTGGGCAGGCACAGGCAGGTGAAGGTGTTGAGGCTGTCAATGCACGTGGCTCCGTTCCGGCACGGGTTGGACTGGCACTCATCGATATCTGCAGCAGAAAATAAAAGTGGTTTCATCACCCACCCAGCCCCCAGGAGGGAAATGCTCTGCAGCCTTAGTCAGGCTGGTGACTTGGACCAGTTCAGAGCAGAAAAATTAAGTATTGCGAAAGATCCCAGTGGTGGCTGCGTGGATGAGAAAGAGGAATGCCATGCAGCCTTCTCCTGGTGGAAAATCTGGCTTGTGTGTATGGCCCTGGCACAACAAAAATTCCCATTAACAACCAGGGACCTCGAATGTCTTCAGGAAACTCAAATATTGGAAATCTTATCATGTAGCATTAAACAGACTGCTAATTTCAGTCTGCAGAGCAGCAGGTCCTGGAATCACACTGGTTTGCGTTTCTCATTTCTTTTTTGTCTAATCTTATAGAGATAAGGACAAAACATTATAGCACTCATGGTCTTGCACTGTAAACAAATAACATGTCTGTCCCTGCCTCCTCTAGCTGCTAAAATACCTTGTCTTCACCTTTTAAATTGAAGCACGAGTTTATTTTGTATAATTATTTCCAGCATGGGTTGCTTTTGCAAGTGTGTCTCCTCATGAAGATCATATGAAGTTTCCTAATGAGTGCTGTTCCTCTGAAGCAATCACAGTGTAGACCTCAACACAGATTTTGCAAACATCTCCATTCAAAAATGAACTGTTGATTCATTAACTGCTGGTTCACTCATTAAAATAGAAGAGAGAAGCTGGACATATCTACAAACAAACAACTAGGAATAATTGCTGCATCATGTAGAAGGATTAAAAAAAATATGTATTTCTATTTTAAAATATGCTGTGGTCAAATTTTATGCTAGGTCTTACTTGTTCCAATCATTTTATCATACTTTGGCTGGCTTTCTGGAGGGAAAATGTGTTATTCTAAACCATATAGGTGAGTCTCTTGAAATCTACAGTCACAGGAGGTGCAGAGATGTCACAGGCAACTGGAAGAGGTTCCTCAGCTGAAATGGTTACCAAAATACTAATTTGTGCCAAAGATGCATATGATTATGATAATATCTAAAATTTCCTGCAAAAATTTTGAAGTTTGTCTTCAGTTCTCAGCTTCCCATTCACATTTGGGAATATTTTATCTTACCAGCCTTTTGAATAGCTATGGGAAGCTCTTAGGGAACTATCCCCAATATTAATGTCTATTTTTTTTCTTTATTTGGTGCATTTTTCAATTCAGTGCTGCGAATTCCAACTCCTGCAGTTCATTTACAGTTCCCTTAACCCCTGTGTGTGTACACAAATCTGTGCACTTTATGGAGAGGGGGAAAAGGGAGAGACAATGGGGAATTCTCCATTTCATTGTCCCTAAGTAAGGCCTCGGTGTAAAATTTTTCAAACATCCATGCAGCCCTCAGCTTTAAAGCACACCAGATTTCATGTTCAAGATCTTTAAACTGGAGTCAATCAGCACCCAGATGGCACCAGTTTACCTAATTCACACTGCTCCCCACTGAAACCTGGCAGGCAGGTACAGATGTAGAAGGAACCACGTGGGTAGCAGGTACCACCGTTGAGGCAGGGGCTGCTCTTGCACGGATCTTGGCCTGTTAAAGAAGGAGAAAAAGGAATTTGACTCCCTAGTTTCAAGGAAGTGGTGTATTTTTTATTTTCAGGAGGAAAAAATAAAGCTTTCTTCACTGCTTCATTGGTGGTGCAAGCTTTACTGTAGTTGCAGAAAATCTATGAACATACTCAACTACTCAAAATAAGATTTATAAAACAGTAAAGCTGGTCTTCAGGCATCACTACTTTCAACTTTAACAACAATATGGCATTTACTATGAACCAATGTAAATTACTCTTGGAATTACTTTTTTTTTTCCACAGCAATTTGTACTGTTTGGCAGTCATGATACTCTGTTGAGGATTTAGTTTGCATGACATGACAATTAATTATAGCTGAAAACAGTTAAACATATGCAAAATGAATGGAAAATGCTTTTGTCTTGAACAGGGTTAGTTTATGCAGAATGACAGGGTACACAGAACATACTGACTGGCTGCTTATATTCAATCAATCAATCCCCACAAAGTCTTATTTCTTTTCTCACATGTGTGCTTCCCACCTGCCTTTCTTAAAAGTACATTTAAAGAATACAAACAAAGGCTCTGAATACATTTGACTCTTGACTGAACATAAAGATAAAAACTTACCTGCTGTGAAATCCTCAGTTGTTACGGGAGTTAGCATTTAAATATCATTTCCTTGAAGAGCTTTATGCCTTCCAGTGATGTTTATTTCCACTGAGTTTAGATACCTGGGTATTTGCATTTGATTTCATGCCTAGGAGCACTCACTCACACAGACAAGTCCACACTAAACCATTCCTGAGAGTTAGTTTCTCACAGTGAGAGGGAAATCCTGAAGACAGCCCTTCTGACATGCAAAAATAAAGCCCTGGCTTTGAAAACTTACAAAATGGATAAGAGAGTTCTGCAAATCAGAGGCATGAGAAAAATTAAGATTTTTTCGGTCATGTTTTCCCAAAACAATCTGACAAGGATTTATGACCAAAAAAAAAAAAAATAATAATATCTACTTTACTTTTGCAAATTAGAGATTTAAAGTCTTCTTATAGTACCAAGTTCCCTGTCTAGGCATGGGAATGCAGAAGGTCCAGCTGAAAGCTTCCAGAAGAAAATCCTGTGTGCAAAAGTTTAGGGTTGTAATTAAGTAATTAACATTTTCACCTTGGAGGTTTTGGAAAGGATCTGATCCCATCCATTCAATAGGGTGCTTATTTTAGGACTGCTTCAATGAAAGTCACAAATGTAGGGCACCTTAATGGTGTTTTTTGTGTGTTTGTTGTCTGTTTATCCTTCTACAGACTGGATATTTCCACAGCAAACATTTTCAAATTGCCAGCTACCTGGATTATTTGAGAAAAAGATAACAGTAAACCTATAAAATCAGAGCAGTCCAGTTCTTTTCTCAGCTGTATCTAGACAAAATATGAATTGAAGTGATGCCACTGGCATCACCCATGTGTTTGATGAAATGGTTCCCCATACCATCATGGAAAACAAAATACTGTGGCAAATGATATCTAACAAAAAGTTCTGTCATTTTTAAGAGACTGACACTGCATCAACCACTTAAAGCTACAGACAGGCTGAAAAGAAGGTCTTGGTTTTCTCTTGTGTGGAAAGCTATCTTGTAGGTCAAGAGAAGTTCAATTTTATAGAAAATTCTGATCCTAAAACATGCACTGTTGCTTTCTAGGTCAACTGCAAGATGTTAAAAACAACCCTTCATTGAAACCAGTTGTGTAACAGCTATCACCACACACACAAGAAAAGCCATCAGATAAAATCACCTGTTGGAAACTGGCAAATGAAATCACTCCAGCTGATCTCCCTACCACAACCAGTGTTACCTTCCTGTCTTTTAGAACTGGCTGGTTACCTCCAGTCTGATCCAGAGCTCCACGATGCAAACACCAATGGAAAGCCACTGGGCTGGGGTTTTTTGGCAGTCCCCCATCCTCTTCCACTTGTGGGGGCCACAGCCAGGCTGATTTCTCAGCTGGAGGGTGACGAGGTCCGTTGTCATTTCACGCGGAGCTCTGATTGTCACACCCCTCACCAGAGCCCAGGCAACACCTTCACAAGTACCACAACACACACAACACGACAGGGATCATATTTGGAAAGTTACCTGGAATTTGCACTGCTGTGCCTTCAACTGAACCCACACTGGTGCCAATCACGAAATCTGAGCCGTTTGTGACTTCCGGAAGGGAAAATGATGGAGTTACAGTTTCCACAGTGTTTGGCTCCTCAGAGCTCAGTGTTGATGGCTGGTTTTGGTAGGGACTGTTTCCAGGGGCAATGCTGTTTGTTGCAATGTTAGAAGAGATGGTTGTGATCTCCCCCTGACCAAGAAAAGCCGCCTGTGTTTCTGTGCCTCCATGCAAAAGTTGGGAAGGCGAGGTTAGCATTGTAACTGCTTCCTGGCCAGGTTTAAATCCTTCACTTTCAATGCTGTTGGGTGAGTCTGAAACAGTTGTGGATACAAGCCAGGGGTTCTGTCTCTCAGCAGTCCTGTCTTCCTCTTGGAGGGGATTATTGACTCTCCCTGAGGAAGCTTCGACTTTTGCTGTGCTGACTTTTGGAACATCTGTGCTCACTCTTTCTCCGAAATTCAGAAAAACAGTAGGCAAGACACGTATTGATGGAGAATCTCCAGAAACAGCAGCTTCTTCCTCACCAGCTAAATCAGTTGCAGGGGTTTCTGTCTCCTCTGTCCCACCTGTTAGAAGCCTACCAAACTGAGGAGTGCTTTCTGTGCTCGTGCTGTCTGAAACAGGCTCAGGAGAAAGCTCCAGCAGAGAGGACTCTGTTGTGTCAAGAAGGTCACTAGTGGGTGGTTTATATGTTGCTGTAACATCAGAACTAACCTCTTTGAAGATTCCTCCTGATGAGTGATTGGACTGACGTGAATCCCTTGATGATGATGATGATGATGATGTGCTTGTAATGATTACCTCAGGGTACTCAGACACTCTGTTTACTAAATGCACAGTTACTGAGGATTTAGGAGTTTGAGGAACAGAATAAAAACTCACTGCATCTGTTTCCTCATACTCTGCTGATGCTGATTTGGAGTTTGTGTACACTGTGGGATGACTCCCTGCACCCTTGGTAGGTGACACAGTTGTCAGCTGGGATGTAGGCTGTGTGGTGACAACACTTAACTCAAGCTCACCCGTTGTCAAAGCCTTTTCTGGCTCACCAGTTACAACTGGTGTAAGAGAAGGAACCACAGGCTGATTATCAACCAGCTCTTCTTGGCCCATCCCAGAAAAGCCAGAGATTGTTTCGCTTTGGTCTGGTATTGCTTGGTTGTTTGCTGAAGTACTTGGCTCAGAGGTGTCTTCTGTGGGGCTGGTTACAACAGGCTTGGACTCAGGAGGCACCTGAGGGCTTGCCAGAGATGGCACTGTAGGAAGGAAAATGCCCAGTTCAGAGAGTTCCGTGGTGGTGAGAGTTTCTGTTGCAAAATTCATGTCATTCCCTGAACCCAAATCCATGTCACCTGAAGTTGGTCTGTGTCCAGAAGTCACCAATTCTCTACTTGGTGGACTGGAAGTAGTCAGAGGAAGATTATCACCAGATCCAAGTGTCTTTTCTTTGACTATCGAAAACCTGGGAGTGGAATAATATTTCTCCCCTTCAGCTGTCGTGCTATCATCATAGCCATATGTTGACTGTGTAACAGGATTTGGCATTGTCTGCACACTAATTATATCCTCAGGCATTGATTTAGAGTGATCCATGTCTATAATAGTTGTTTCTTCTGGTGGGGTTTGCAGCCGTTCTTCAATCAGGGTAATATCACCATAAACAGAAACATTCAATATGACACTTCTTTTGTCATCAATCATGGGAATAATTTTTTCATATAACCCAGTGTCACTTGTTAGTTCCTCTGATGAAGCTGTCTTTGGATGAGCAGCAGATGGATTTCCCAAAACCTCTGTTTCTTCTGTAAAGAGGGAGACGAGTCCCGTGATTGCAGTCTGTGATCCATCTCTTGGTGCCTCTGTGGTCATAACTTTGGAATAAACATCTCCAGGAACACTAGATGAAACATTTAGTTCCACTTTGGAAACGGTGGGTATTGAGAAATGGGTTAACATATCAGGGGAAGATGAATCTGAAACACCAACCCAGCCAGATCCTTCACCAGAGCCCTCAGGTAGTATTCTGCCCATGGTTTTTGTTGCTGATGTTACAAGAGATTCCTCTGTTTCAGGACTGGGAGTTCCATTCAGTATAACAGATACAGGAGTTGTGCCACCTTTAATCAGAAAATGTGAATTTTCCTCTTGAGAAACAGCTTTAGAAGTGGGTGTTGTCTTATCTGTTTCATTTTCTCCTCTCCTATAGTCAATTTCCTTTTCCTGTGGTTCTTCATTCGCAACAAAATAATGTGTGGTGTCCTCAATTTCTTTAGAGATGAAGCTCTTGGAGCTGTCTTCTACTAAAGCTGAAGAACTGGGGAATGTGGAGGTGGGGAATGGGTCTCCAGTTTCTGGCAGCAGCTCAGCTACAGCACTTGTGACTTCTTCATTAACTTCAACATTTCCTGGAGTGCTTCCTCGCTCAAAGTCTTGTGTCATCTCAGTGGAAAGTCCAGGTCCCATATTTGCAGGGTGAGAAGTTTCAGGGCTTGAGGTACTCTTGATGTTTTGGACAACAAATGGCACTACAGAAGGAAGAACAGCAAGGTCATCTCCTGACCCCCGTCCTGAAAACAGAGGATCACCAATGAGCTCGTTATCTGGCAGCTTTTCTTCCTTAGGTGTCAGGAATGTTCTGGGAATGTCTTTTGTAGGGAAAATGTTTTGCACCAGCTCCTCCTCTTGCTCTATAACTGTGACTGGAGAGCTTATGTATTTCCTCTCAACTGTTACAGGCTCTGTTACTCTGTCATCAGTAAATGGCAAAAGTATTTCTTTAACAGGTTCAGTTTCTAATTTCTTTTCTTCCAGATAAGGACTGAGAGTTGGAACATTTAAAAATCCCAGATGTTCATGGC